CCCTGCCTGCCCCGAGAGGCATCGGTGCAGGAATCAGGCTTGGGTTGTGCCACCGTCTGGCACCGCAGCAGGTTCAGGGTGCGTGCCCCAGAGCTGAGCGTCCTCTGCTGCAGCCCAGCCAGGGCTCCTGAAACGCAGTCTCCCACATTCCCCAAAACTTTTATTTTTACATCAACCAAGCACACAGACAAAGTCAGGTCAGCACTGCCTTGGCCGTGGGGGCCCAGAGACCCACTCATGAAAAGACACATCACCAGGGGGCTTATGGCCCAAAGCTCCCCAGGATGTGGGACGGGGCAGTGCCGTGTTCCCTTTCGCTGTGCCAACGGACAGCCCCGAGGGCTGCGACCCAGCGCCCCGGGCTGTGCATGCAGAGCGGTAAAAGGCAACACAAGGGAAAAGCAGAGGTAGTTTCCCAACTCGGTGCCACAGGTCTAATGGGGAGTTCGTTTGCACCCCCAACAGGCCCCTGGCAAAGCCAGGGAGGAGGAGCGGGTGCCAAGGGTGGTGCTGCCCTTAAGTCTGAGTCTGGGAGTTGCTGGCTCTCCCTCGGGGGTGCCAGCGTGCACCCTCACACTGGTGTGCAGGGTCAGTGCTGCTCTGGGGCCGTGCTAGGGCCAGCCCTGGAGCTGTGCTTCCAGCACCATCCCCACATGGGGAAAGGCACCGTTGGTGAGTGTAAAAGTACTGTCTGTGGTGACTGGATAGGGTGACCTTTCACACAGGGTCCCCTCTCCTCCTGCCAGCACCAGGCCAAGGCGAAGGACCCTGTGAAGCAGCGGGACAGGCACTGTGCAGGCACTGTGAGGCAGGGAGGGGTGAACGGAGGGGGAGGAGGTGCCCAAACCGCGGCACCATAGGTCCCGACACTGCTCAAGCTGGGTATCAGGCCCCCAGAGCTTCCCACTGTGTCCTGAGTAAAACCAAAGAGGTGCAGGATTAGGCCCTGCTGGGGACGAGAGGGTTGTGATGAGGGCACTGGGGCAGAAGGCAGAGCCTGTCCTACCCTCGCAGCCCCCTGCTCGCTCCTGCCTGGCCCCAGGCACATGCAGCAACAGCCGGGCACGGCCAGCGGCTCAGAGGAAGATGGGCTGCTCCTGCCCGGTCAGTAAGCGGTACGTGGAGGCCGGCATGGTCTTGATGTGGACCTAGGCAGAGATGCACAGATCAGCTGGGAGATGCCAAACCCTGGGCTGGAGGGTGCTGGTGCAAAACTCTGAGCCCAGCCTGCTCCGTGTGCAGCCGCAGCTGCCCCGCGGCACGGGGGCCCTGGCCATCGCCCAGCCTGGGCCTGGCTCACCTCGCTGACCGCCTGCGTGAGGATCTGGATGATCTTCTCGTGGGGTGTTGCCACCACGCTCTGCCCGTTGATCTCGATGATGCGGTGCCCCACGCGGATGCCACCTCTCTCTGCGATGCCCCCACGCATCAGGCTGCAGATCTGGGGAGGAGGGAGCGCTGGCAAGATCAGAACTGTGCCCACAGCCCAGGGCCATACGCAACCACCACCCCAAACCCTCTCATCCATGCAGGCTCCAGGCAAGAGCGCCGGACTTGGGTGCCGTCTCCTCCAGCCCACGGGCATGCAGCGAGGGCAGGGATGTCCCTTTTTATTGCTGCTACCAGAGCGATGTGCTGAGCTGCAGGGCAAGGGCAGCCTGCAGGCTTTTGTTCCCTGGGCTGACAGAGAGCTCAGCTCCCTCCATCCACCCATTGAACCCTTGTGCCCCATCAAGCCTGGGCTGCAGAGCCAGAGCTTCTCCCTGCGATGGTGGCTGCTGCACGCCTGTGGGGTAACCGCGTCTCCAATGCTATTGGGAGCATTGATCGGTGCGCGATGCAGCCGTGCCACCCCCTCAACCCACCCACCCCATCAACTCCTGCTAGTCCTGAAAATGCTCCTCTCTGCCTTTGCAACGCAGCCATTGTGGAGCCGGGAGTGGCTGGGGACAACAAATGTCACTAAGGTCGTGCCAAGAAAGCCAGGAAGAAACCACTACCCCGAAAGCAAACAGCTAAGGAGCACCAGGGAGACAGATCCAATCGCCAGTGCTGCAGGAGAGCTATGAAGAGTCTTTTGCTGTGGTGCAGCAGAGCCCTGTGAAACCTCAGCCCTGGCAGGCACAAGGAGCGCTGGAGCTGTGTGCTTGTCCACGTGGACATAGCCAGAACCGTGTGTCCCTCTGCCAGACGGGAAGACCTTGGATGACCCTGGCCTGGCTCCGCTCCCATCCCCGCAGGCACTCACCACGCCGTTCTCAACACAGAAGCCCAGCTGGTACTTGGAGTCAGGGCGCCGGATGACAGCCGTGGTGACAGGGGGACAGTGCACAATGTTCAGTGTCACCTCTCTCTGGTGCTTCAGCTCCTGGAAGATGGGATGGGGCTTTGTCAGACTTTGGAGAGCTATTCGACATGGTTGAGAGGGGCGATGCAGCCATGTTGCTCACGGGAGGGCTGAGGATTAGCAACCTGTTTTCAATCGGGAAACTGAGGCACACACAGGGGTACAGCCATGCTCAAATTCAGGGAGAAGTTGTTATAAATCCAGTCTAAGATGTCCCACTCTGCCCCTGAGGCCACACTGTCCTTGCCTTCAGCTCCTTCCTGCCCGGGAGGTAGAAGATGCAACAGGTTCCCTCCAGCTCACGGGAGGGCTGAGGATTAGCAACCTGTTTTCAATCGGGAAACTGAGGCACACACAGGGGTACAGCCATGCTCAAATTCAGGGAGAAGTTGTTATAAATCCAGTCTAAGATGTCCCACTCTGCCCCTGAGGCCACACTGTCCTTGCCTTCAGCTCCTTCCTGCCCGGGAGGTAGAAGATGCAACAGGTTCCCTCCAGGACAGGTGCCTGCCTCCTCACCCACCCT